AGAGCGGTGCTGTGAGGAGCCTCCTCGCAGCCAACTCCTTTCTCGTCAACCAGGAGCGTTTTCGAGAGTTCTTTTTGGATCATCTTCCCTCGAGGCCACAGCACAGGAGTTGGGGACCCGGAGCGTTTCTCAGGTGACCCCACTCCCTGTGGGAGTGGCCCTCGAGGCCAGGCCACGGGCCTTGGTGACCCGGAGCTTTTCCGAGGAGTCACCAGGGGCTGTGGCAGCGGCCCTTGAGGCCATTTGTTGGGAATTTGCCACCAGGGGCTTTTCCAAGCCAGCCCCTGTGGCAGTGGCCCTTAAGGCCATTTGTGGAGACTTTGCCACCAGGGGCTTTTGCTATCCATCCCCAGTCCTTGTGGCAGTGGCCCTTCAGGCCATTTGTTGAGACTTTGCCACCAGGGGCTTTTCCAAGCCATCCCCAGTCCCTGTGGCAGGAGCCCCGCAGGCCATTCTGTCACACTTGGCCGCCAGGGGTTTTTCCCAGGTTTCTCTCCCGCAGGTGCCCTCAAGACCAGGTGCCATGGCGGGGGGATGCTTCGGCCTGTGCCGGCTGCTCCGGGGGAAGAGGAAGAACAGGAGAGGCCCTGGAGCTGGCCCAGCACAGGAACCGGAGGAGGAGGTGCAGCACTTCCAGCCACTGCAGCAGGGTGAGTGCTGGAGCTGGGCCCCAGGGATGGTGGCTGCAGCCAGCTGGGCCCCTTGCCGTCCCCTCTGGACATGGTCAGGGAAAGGGAGGGGGAAAGGGGTCCAAGGCTGATCCCCCCGGCATCCGTGCTCCATCCCCTGGGCATCCCAGGGCTGGCCCTGCCTGTGGAGTGCAGGGCTGGGCTGTGTTCTCTGGCCTCTCCCGTGGCCCCTCAGCTCTGACTGCGCTCGCTCTTTGCCAGATCCAGGCCGGGACCGCCCAGAAGAGCAGGACCGCGCCCGTGGCCGCTTGCGCAGGGCACTTCAGGTACCTGCAGCCATCCCCCCCTGGGCTGGGCCTGCTGTCCCTGCTCCGCCTGGCACCACTGTCAGAGCACTCCATGCCACTTCCCTCTCTTCCCTGCCCTTTCTTCTCCTGCAGAGGTTGCTGAAATTCATGAGACTTCGGCGCAGAACAGCCACAACCACACCGCCCGAGCTCACGGCACAGCCTGACACCAGCGCAGCCGAGCTTGAGGTGCAGCCTGATGGCAGCACTGCACCGAGTGACTGTGCAGCCAGCGGTGACATGGAACTGACTGATGGCACAGCAACCTCAGACATGGCAGCAACTGATGGCACAGACACCACCAACATGGCAGCCATTGATTGTGCAGCGAACTCTGCCACGGCACCGGTTGATGGCACTGACACCTCTGACCAGACACCGGTTGATGGCACAGCAAACGCAGACATAGCACCTCTCGAGGGCACAGCCACCTCTGACACGGCACTGACCGACACCAAGACAAGCTCTGCCACGGCACCTACTGATGTCGGGGCCAAGGTTGACGCCACAACTGAGAGCACCGCAGACACTGACTGCATGTCCATGCACAGTGTCACTGATGCTCCCAGGCTGGACATTTTGGAGGAGAAAACTGTCTCCAATGCAGATGAAGTAAGCAGCCTGTGGCCAGGGCTCGAGCCTCCCAGGGGTCTTGTGGCCCCTCAAGCCGGCTCTGCTGGGCCCCCAGAGCCTTTGAGGCCAGCACAGTGCAGTGGGAAGGGAAGCCCTTCCTGCGGCAAGCTGGGCAACCTGCTGGCTCTGGCAGCTCTCCAACTGTCCCCCACTCCCCTCCAGGTGCCGCCCATTGTCAGATCCATCCACCAGTGGCTCACGTGCCAGGAGTCTGCAGAGGTCAGGCCGCCCATTGCCATCCGCAGGCTGGCCCACGCACACCCTGGGCACGTGGTGACAACTCTCCTGCACTGTGCCCCAGCGTGTGACAGGTACAGGGCCCAGCTGCTTTGCTGCCTCAGGGCTCACCAGCCTTTACAACCCAGCACCCCATCCAGCCTGTCCCTCCTGCTCTGACAGACAAGTGCACACTTTCAGGACCATCGGGCCCCTCCACTTCCCAGCCCTGGCATGTCAGTCCCTGACCCTACTGCCGTGCTCCCCCCTGGCTCCTCAATGCACCGTGGCTCTGTCACCTGGGCCCCCACAGCTCCCAAGGCCCAGATCCCCCTGACCCAGAGTTCTGGCTCCACAGAGCTGCTGCAATCCTGTGGAGGACCATCGCCTCCTCGGCCACCACAGCACACAAGGTGCTGCCAACGCTGCTCGGGGTGATGGAGGACTGGCCACTGCACAGCGTGTCCACCTCCAACGGGGACCACATGGATGTCTTTGCCCTGGCTGTGAGTTTCTGCAGCGACTCTCCATCCTCCCCCACCGCTGCATCTCCCTCAGGCCTTGGGCTGCAAATGGGGCTGAGGGGCAGGTTCAGGGGCAGCAGGCCGGCTGCTCCCCCTGGCTCTCCCTGGCCTCTCCCTCCCTCTGGGCACTGATGGTGTTTCCACGTGGCTTTCTTGCAGGCAACCCTGGCCCTGTGGCTGATGGTCCAGGAGCCCCAGTGCCAAGATGCACTCTTGGTTTATGCCCCTCTTCTCATCCTGGCTCTGCTCTGCCAAGCTTCTATGAGCACAGAGCAGATGCCAGAGGAGGTCACCACCTTCTGGAGGGGATGCCAGGAGCAACACGGCCTTCCCACCCACCCCAACAGGTGCTCCATGCCCGTCCCCTCTCCCTGCCGTGCCCTGGGGGCTGGGGCCAGGGCTCCCAGCCTGACGTGGCCTTTGCTCTGCACACAGCTTTGTGGTCCAGACCATCCGGGTCCTGCTCTGCCGGCTGCAGCGGGACCAGGTGCTGGTGTCAGTGGAGCGCAAGCGTGGCTGGGACGCGCTCCTCTCTGCTGACACCCACCACTACGCGGTGGGGCTGCTGGCCAGGTGAGACAGCCTTGTCCCTGCTGCCCCCGGCATCTCTGCCCTGGGCACGGGGCAGCCCACACAGCCCCCCTGGGCGTGGGACAGAGGGCCTTGGCCCCAAGGGACGGCCCAGCCAGTGCTGGCAGAGCTTTGCCCACCCGACTCAGGCCGAGGGTTCTCTTTTTGCCCTGACAGGGAGATGCGCCGCGTGTTGGGCCCCTCCTATGGCCTGCTGGCAAGGCACCTGCTGGGGCTGCTCAGCAGGGAGGGGCCCCGCTGGGAGCTGCCTGCCCTGGCCTTCCTTGTCGAGGTGAGCCCGATGGCCAGCGCTGCCTGGCCCCGCTGCCTCCCCCTCTCTGCCCTCTGGCAGCCGCAGCTGCCCGGGACGGTGCCTGCGCCCTGTGCTGCTGCCAGGGCCCAGCCCTGGACGGCTCCGTGCTCCTGCCGCCCGCACACCCCGGCACTGCTCTCTGCCTTCCAGGTCCTCGACTACCTGGATGTGAGCACCTGTCACGACAGTGTCCTGCAGATGCTGGCAAGGCACCTGCAGAGCCAGTGCCCAGAGAGGCGGCGCCTGGCTCTGCGAGGGCTCCTGGTGCTCAGCAGGGATTCCTCAATGGTGAGAAGGGGGCAGGGGCTGAAGCCACACGGGCAGCCTGGGGCTGGAGAGGGCTGTGGCTTGGCCTTGGCTGGACTTCAGGAGCTGTGGCAGCTGCTGCCAGCTCTCCTGCCTCCCTCTCCAGCTGCCCAGGCCCTGTAGGACAGGCCTTTGGCCTCTGGGCCCCGGGGCAGCAGTGTGGGCTTGCAGTGCCAGAGTGGGGGTGGTGGGGCAGCTCTTCAGGGCTTCCCAGCACAGCCTTCTGTTCCACACAGGCCAAAGGCATCTGCAGCCTGTCTGAGCACCTCCTGGAGCTGCTGCGTGATGGAGATGGAGAGCTGGTCGCCATGACCCTCTCCACGTTCCTGAATGTGCTCCAGGATGAGCAAGACAGGGAGGGACTCAGCTCCACTGCCCCGAGGCTGGCTGAGGCGCTCCGGCCACTCTTTGACAACGTAAGGCTCTGTGCCCCCAGCCACAGGCACTGGGTGCTGCCAGGAAACTTGGTGGGCCTGGAGGGCCTGGAGCAGGCAGTGCTGAGGTCTTTGTCTCTTCTTTGGCCCCAGGACAACAGCCACGTGCAGCTGCTCTCCATTCGCCTCTTCCGAGAGGTGATGGAGCTGCTGGCGGAAGAGGGAACAGAGCCCTGGGAGATGCAGGTGCGCCAGAGCCTGGTCCCACTGTTCTTCCGCTGGCACGACGAGAACCAGCGCGTGGCAGAGGTGAGCACTGCTGGGCTCTGGTGTCCCCATGGCAGGGGCTGGGCTGCCTCCTGCCCTGGGGCCTCAAGGGCTCCAGCCTCCTGCTGGCCTTGGAGCAGGGACACAGGGGCTGTGCCCTGGGCTGCGGTGCCATGTCCCGCTCTCTGCTGCTCTGCAGGCCGCTCGGGAAGCGCTGCTCTGGGCTGCAAGCTTCCTCAAGAGGAAGGACCTGGAGCAGCTGCTGAAGACAGGGCAGCCCTTCAGGTTCCGTGACTACCTGGTAAGGACGAGTGCAAACGCCCAGCCCCAGGCTGGAGAAGCCCCCGATGCCCAGTGTGTGGGGCTGGCCCTGTGCACTGCTGCCCACTGCTGCAACCACAGACAC